AATAACGAATTAGAAGATATATTAAACCAACAATGGTATGAAATAAACCTACATGATTTAGACTTTGAAAGAATAGAATGGTATGATTTAGAAATAAATTCAGATTAAAATGAACTATGAATATTTACAATATTGGATAGAATCTATGGAAGATATAAAACTATTAGAACAATTAATGAAGGAAAATTTATATATGTACCCAAGATATGTTATATCTAGAATATATATCATAAATAATATTAAAGAAATATTCAGATTAAAACAACTATCGAAAGAATATTACAATAAATATTATTACATTTTACCATGAATTCCGCACCCCCCAAAAAATAATATTAAAGAGATATCAAGACTAAGACACTTAGCAAAAGAATATTATAATAAAATCTTTAAAATAAATTACTCACCTACCACACTACCACTTCCATGAATTCCTCAACTACCAGTTCCGCTACGAAAAATGGTACTGAAGTTGAATCTTGTTGATATTGATCGAGGAGTTTGATGTATTTTAGCTGACTGAATCCACAAACATCAAAGTCTCCGTCATGGGTATTTTTTGTTGATTCTACAGGTAGGGATGTGTGAGACTTGCGGTAAATACTAATATATTTTCAATTCTTTGGTGTAGTAAACTTGCTTGTATGTTTTACAATCTTAATCAGCTGAGTAGCTTATAAGTTATAGTTGTGTTTGCATGCAGTATGATGACTCGAAGTCGCAAGATATGATTGAGCGAAAAATAAAGAATGCGCCTGCTGGTCAAGGAACAGTTAGGATGCTTACCCGCGAAGAATGGGAATCAGTTCAGGAAGTGCGACCAAGGACTCCGTTTGAATCTAAACTAGCCCGTCCAAATGCAAAGCTTAGGACAGGGGAGCCTTTGAAGATGGTAAATGCATTACTTCTTTAACCTTTCATTCATCTGGTGATAGGTATTTTTCGTGCTAACATTCTAGAGAACAAACAAAACGGGTTAGAATTTAGAAAGCTTCCTATAGTTGTAAGGCATTCAGGTTACTAGTGGGAATGCTTTTTAGCAGAATATCAACAATGACTATAAGGATGTTGGAGGGTCTAGAGGTTTATCATTGTTTGCCTGTTGGCCTAGAACTAGGCATGCCAACCTTAGTGCAAAATGAAGGTGTTAGATAGCTAGTTAAGTTTCTATACTAGTGATATTCTAGTTTTTGAATGGGTTAGATGCAAGATCTTTTGCTTTTCACCTAAAGTAACTGCGTATTGTATTAATTATCGTAAAGTAATTAATACAAATTTTCTTTCCTCTTAGTTCCTCTCATGCTTTCAGAATCTTCTATGATCTAAGTAGAAATCTAAATTTCCCTCATTCCAATGGGCATCACTCATATTTACCGTACCTGTTTCGTAATATCATGCCTAATATCAGTGATTGTTGTGATGGTACTGTGCCTATTCTCGATGATCGTTATGTAGCATTGAGAGTGTTTCTGGAAACCTTTTCAGTGATACCTCACATCTTTTCCATGGCTCTTTTGGTGGTGCCGCACATCTTTCCAGCAACACCACACTCCTTTTTGGTGACCATTCCTGCAGTTACCTGCATTTATTTTCTTCAGCAGTTATTCCGGCAGCACGAGTGTTTTGTCCACTGTTCCTGCAACTACAGTGACAACCTTCTAGCAGTCGAAACTAATCTTTTCCCATGACTTTTTGGGTGTTATACAACAAATTTAATCCATTTCTTTTTATTTTCATTAGCTGCAGACCTATTATCTAAGTTGTTGTTTCAAGAAAATGATATCTTGTGATTCAGCATGGTTTAGTTTTATGATTATGGTTACTTTTTTCATTATATCCACTTAAGTAGTCCACCAGTAGCTTTTATTATACCATTAGGTAATCACGTTAACTTTGTCTGTTGGTCCTTCACTTGCGGATCTTGGGTATTGACTTGGGGCTTTTGATCATACCTCTTTTAATTGTAAAAAGTTTGTGACCAATCTTATCAAAAAAACTTATACTTAAACTTGACTTGGGACTTTTTGATCATACCCAGGACTGCTTGTTTGTTCTCATACCATGCAAACATGTGTAACTACCTATAATATTACCTTTTAAAAAAGTGGGTGACCAACAACAACGACGACATACCCAGTGTAGTCCCACTCATTGGAGTCAAGGGTAGGTAGAGTTTGAGCAGACCTACCCCTACCTAAGAGGTAGAGAGGTTGCTTCCAATAAACCCTTGGCTCAAGGAAAAACAGTCCATAAAAGAAGTAATGGAAGTAAAGCATAACAAGGCATTTTGAACAGTAACTACAACAAAATGATACGATGAAGTACAAGATACAACAAATAGAAACAAAAATCAAAGGACAAGAAACTATAGAAGCAATACTATGACTACTAGTATGGATGGATATCAAGACGACACACTACTACCTACTAACCTATTATCCTAATACGTCTCCTCCACAACCTCCTATCTAAGGACGTTTGAGCTCATTGCAAATGTAAAAACATAAAAGTATTCGAACATTATGAATCACTGTAAAATTAGTATATGTATTTGTTTACTTATCAAGATTGAAGAAAGATATTGTAAGAAAAAAAGTTTTATCACAAAAGTTACTTGCTTATTCCAAGTACTTAACTATTTATTTACTTAATTAAAATAAGTTTATTGTCATAGAGGAATGCATTAGGAATAACCAGTGATGGGAAGGCATTCATTTTAATATCTAAACTTTGGATACTTTTCTTAGAAGGAGATGAACTACGTATAGATTTGTATGTAAGTGCATGATAGGATTTAAGAGAAAGCTGGCATCCAATCAAGAAAGAATTATTTCGGACAATTAGACTAAGCTTCCCCATTGTCTCTCTTCTTTAGCTAATGATGAAGCAAATCCCTAAAGTCAAAGTAGTCCATGAAAGCATCTATTTTTCCCGTTATTTCAACTTTTCAAGATACTTTTGGATATATAGTGACTTTCCTCCCTAATGCACTTGTTTTAAGGCACGAAAATTTACTCTTTGTTCATCTTTTAGCCTTACTTTCCTCTTTATGTTCACACCTTTTGTCATTCCCTCTTTATCTTTTGATTTCCCCCCTTTAGTATTCCAAGCACTTGCCGCTAGCACATCACTTTACTTACTTCATCATACCATTTTTTTTATATGCAACAAGCATTTTGCTAATTTACCCGGGCACCATGCACCAAATCTCTCCTTTACTACACTTACCCTCCCTTTTCATTCACCCTTGTTTTTGTTCATATTGTTCACTACAAAGTGCATTAAGGAATATTATTTGGATCAAATTATAACAGGGTGTCACAAGAGGGATTAGGCTCATTATGTGGCTACACAAAGAAATAGGCTACAAGGCTTAAGGGGTTTCACTAGGGATAATGTCAAGGTGGCACAAACTATTATCGAACGGGCTATACAATGAAATGCCCAAATCATGTTCCACAACTTCATGCTAGTCAATTTGTCACACACACGAGACAAGTTCTAGATGTTATTCTATGCAAGAAACCAATCAAATACTCACCACACATGACACCATGATACACATACATTGCATGCTCTCGTACACAAACATCTTGAGCGAATACAATTGGACCCAGTTTCTTCATTCTTAGAGTCCAGTTAAAAAACTTGTGCGTTTGTTACTTCTTTAATACACATGAACTATCCATGACGTCTGGCTAACTTTAAAGTGGTCAGGCTTCCAATCCTACAAACCTATGACTAATTTTCCCTTAAGACGATCGTCATCCATACATCCATCATTAGGAAAAATCACTACTACAACGACTCTCCTGACGAAATCAAAAACTCTACCCTGCTCAAAGGGACTATCCTCAGGAAAGAACGGAAAACAAAAATCAAGGAACTCATCCTAAAAATGAAAGACTAAATATAATAGTAAAAGTTGGAATTCATTCCTCCACCCAAGACTTAAAACATGGCATTGCCCCCGGTGCAACAATTCAATACATAAGCTAAGAGTGAAAGATAGAACTCCATGGCCTCTAGGCCTCGTCGCCATCATCTTCATCTGCCGCATCCGTGGATCCATCAAGCTCCATGAGCGATGTGCCTGCATCATCCACTTTCTAATCATTGTGAGCATCATGAACAATGGGCTCATCATCATCCAACAACTCTTGAAAAGCTAGGCCCATTTTACACATACATAACACTATATCTATCAGTGGGTAGCACTCGGCTAATTTAGCCATATTTGCATCGGTCACACGACGACCACCAATGCGCAATTGCAACTCAGCCATACCAAACATTCAACACATCTAACTATTGTCCTGAGCCTGACAATCCGCTATAGAGAGCACGGGTCCGTGTGAGGTGTCTTGTGCCTTGGTCTTAGTCACATCAACCAACTGACATACCAAATGTGGCACTCTCAGTGGGCATAAATCGTGTAACTCCTCCTCCACACCTTCTCTCCAGTTAAACGAATCATCAAATCCCATAGCAATACCTCCACTTTTTATTATTTCTAAACTTCACCATATTATGGCGGAGAACTGATGTCACAAGAACCGACATTCCCTTCATCAACATATAAACCAACACTACCTTATCTTTCGTTACTTAAGAGGTATGCTTACAAGGTAAAAGAGTACTACAAACAATTTTGAGCCATACCCGTGCTTCTTGATTCAAATGGGCATAGTGCTAAGTGGCATGTCGTCCGATTTCCTTGCTTCTCTCCCATCAGGTTGTCAAATTTATGCCACAAAGTGTGTGATGGATGTCTCTGTAAGGTGGGGCCTTATTCATATCCAGATACTCTTAGGCATCAACATGGGGTGTGCCAAAGAACTCATTCAACACCCGGGTGGTGAAACAAATTGTTTTCTTCGGACCTCAATTCTATTGCTTGTACGTTGATTTGTGTCCCAAATCGCTTGAAATTCTTGAACTAAAGTGAGATTACACTCACCTTGATCCTGAAAAATATATTGAATGCCCGATTTGTACACCCTCTCATGAATTTGGGGTAACTCAGCCTGCAACCGACTCTCATCCACATGTTCATCCCCCAAATACTTTGCCTCCTTTTGTTACTCAAACCAATCTTTCCCGTAGTGCTCCACCGCTTGCTTTCTAAATTTTTGAGGGGTGTGCCGAGAACTTGCTTGGCCCGACGAATTGACAGCATCACCTTTTCGGGACCTTTTGCTACCCACACTGCCTTCAACTTGTTTACCGCTTGGTGCCATTTTGACTTGAGCAAGAATGGAGAATTAGGGGAAAACCTTGTGAGAGAGAAGAAAAAAGGATGTTGGGGCAGCTGTTTATGGAGGAAAGTGAAGGGGAAAAAGTTTTCTAAGGTGAGGGGTTGGAAGCTTTAGGGGAAGACAACAATAGTGGGAGAAAGAAGAAATTTTTGGGAGAGGAAAAGGGCTTGGTGCTACTGATTTGAGATGGGAGAGGGAGGTTTAGGAGGGAAATAGGGTTTTAAAGGTGGTTGGGGGGGGGGGGGGGGGGAAAATT